CTCAAATTCTCACAATAAATTAAAGATTGCCATTCAATATAGGCCTATTTAAATATAGTATAAACAAATACCTAAATAAAAAATCATGATTTTTTTATACCCAATGCTAATAAAATCAAATGATTTAATCACATTCACATCACAATGATCACATCATCATCACTGACATCACGATCAGTCGATCACATTATGTTATAATTAAATTATATCATGTTTAAAAGTAAACATTAAGTACCTAGCCTACTCACTTCAACAATTATGGTGGAACCTTGGAATCGATAGTGATTGAGCGATTTGATGGCCTCTTGTGCTTGATCTTCCGACTTCATGTGAACAAATCCAAATTTCCCAAGAACAACGCATTCAGTAACTTCCCCATGTCGTTCAAAAAGCTTACGTAGAGCGATTTCAGAGCATTCATTAGGAAGTTCTCCAACGAATAATTTAGTTTTAGGAGGCATCGCAAATTATGTTATTGCTGACAGGTTAAATGTGAAGTCACGTAGCCTACCTAGCCCTATTGCAATTATTTTACTGAAACAAACAACGGCTACAACGCGTACCTTCTCAGTGTTGCCAACTCTCTCTATCACCCGTTGACACAGAGTCGTTGGTGGCTTGATGCGTCTTCCTTACCGGTAGACGTTGACTATCATGTAATATTTGTTCTCTGAAACTGCTAACACCTGAAACTGCTAACCCCTGAAAACAGCTAACCTGAAACTGTGTTGATATTCTCTAGTCCAGTGGCAACTTTCAGGCTGGCTTTTGGGCTTTTTTTTCAGGCTGGCGCCCCCTTTGGCTCTCTAGTGAATTTCTAGCGCCCCCCTCAGACATACGCCTCTATTTTAAATTTAGTACGCTGCAATTTTTAAAGAATAAGGTTAAACACAATGTGTACTTCACAAATAGAACCCCCTTCAGTGAACCAATATGTTTTTCAGCTGTTTTAACTGTTTAAGCACTAGAAACCTAGGACGTCGCGAGCGAATTTACGGCCGGACACGTGGCCGGTCTCACGACCAATCTACAAATTCAATTATCAAGTAATATCTCCCAAGCTAATGAACGCAGCTCTGTGAAACTTGGAACACGTATTTATCAGAATCTAACGGTGATGCTTAGCTTGTATTTTTTTTAATTTAACCTTCATTTGTGAGTTACGCGTATATTGCGAAAGAGGCCGAAATTCGAAGTGATCAAAGAATTTCTTCCAAACTATTGAACAGATTTGAACGAAATTTTGAATATACATTCCTAACTACCAAACGGTGGTTTTTTTTAGCTTGTAATTTTTTTTCGATGTGACCTTCGTTTGTGAGTTTTTTTTTTCATTTCACCGTCATTCTTGACTTCACACTTTCTTATATTCGGCCCGTATCGCCGGGTAATTTGTTATTTAAATTCGCGGCGATCAAGAAATTTCTTCTAAACTACAGAACAGATTTCAACGAAACTTTGTATATAAATACCTAACCTCTCAACGGTGATGTTTACCTGGTGACAATTTTTCTATTTTGATTTCGTTCGCGAGATATACAATACAGATATAGGAGGAACGAACGGATTTTCTACCGGCCGGGTAAACCAAAAGCCTTATATGTATAGCCGTATAACTCGCAAACGAAAGCAAAACGAAAAAATTGTAAACATCCCCGCTGCTGAGGTTAGGTATTTAGATACTATGTTTCGTTCAAATCTGTTCTGTAGTAGGAAAAAATTTCTTGATTACTGCGAATTTAGGCACATATTGCTGTTTAAATGGGAGCGCAGCCGTGCACCACCAATTTTGCGCACAAATAAGCCCTGAATCGAACGCCTTGGATCTCTCCGGACATCCACCAATCAGCCGTGCTCCACTCGGCTTTGTCCTCTTCCAGCCTTGATCACCACCTGCCGTGCACCACCAGGCCGCGGATCGAATCTGACTTCCGGGCATCGTTAAATTACGTAATTTTACGTTCACCGCATCTGAGGTTAGGTTTCAGATAGCATAGTTCTGTTCCAAAATTTATCGTCCTTCGACAAGTGGCCGTTCGACCGAGGGCTGGTTCGACCCACGGCCTAGATACGGACGGCTTGAAGTGTTGAAGGCTACGTTCCGGAAGGCAGGAATCATGATGGTCCATTACATCCAGGGCAGTTGTGGTCTTCGGCAGGCAACCCGTTTAAATCACGAATGAAGGTGAAATGAAAAAAAAAAACTCGCGAACGAAGGCACAATCGAAAAAAATTTCACGAGCTAACGTTACCGTTTGGTAGTTTGGACTGTAAATTCAAAATTTCGTACGAATCTGTTCAGTAGTTTGGAAGAAATTACTTGATCACTGTGAATTTCGGATCGTATTGCCATATAAGTAACTATGGCAAAAACAAACGATGGCAAAATTCAAACAATTTTCACGAGCAACACATTACCGTTAGGTCCTAATGAATACGTGTACCAAGTTTCATAAAGTTGCGTTCATTAGTTTGCGAGATATTCCTTGATCATTGAATTTGGAAATTGGCCGTGAGACCGGCCGGTAATTTGTCCGAGACGTAAACACAGGAGAGGTTAAAAAACAGATCTGGGTGAAAAAACCATCGCTGGGAGTCATGTGATGCACGTGTTGTTTACAAATCGTCAAACGCACGTTCGAACTTCTGACATTGACTTCGGACTACCGCCCCCCTATCGTCCTCCTACCGCCCTCTTCTTCCTCACCGCCCCCCCAAAATCTTTCCACCGCCCCTAGGGGGGCGATATCGCCCACTTTGGGAACCACTGAATTAGACTAATCAGCCCACAGGAAAATAAGCCTGACGTCGTATGGCCCAGCGTCGTCTGCCAATACGCGAAGAATGTTTACACCACCCGGACGGAGCGGGTGGTGTAAATCAGCCTACGGAGCGAATCAGCATACAGTCGAACGGCCACGCCATGGTTGAACTACTACTAGTTCAACCATGGGCCACGCGTCGTAAGACGATAAATTTTTGAACAGAACTATGCTTTCTGAAATCTAACCCCAAATCTGTGAGCTAAAAGTGGCGGTCTGGTGATGCACGGCAGGATGCACGCAGTTCCACAGGCGACCTTGGGCTGGTTGGTCACAATCCGTTGTCCGCAAGTTACAGATCGAGCTAAAGTCTGGGTATGAAGTGATGATTCGATGCAACGTTCAGTGGTGCATAACCATTACTCTCTGGGCTATTCGCTTCAGAAAATAGTGGCGTTAAGCTCTAATATTTAAAGCAAGATGATGTCACGTGCTGGTTACCGACGGATGGCTAATCCACGGCTGATTGGTGGTCATCCGGAAATATGCTAGGCATTCTTTTCAAGGCTGATTGGTGCACGGCTGCGTACCCGCTTAAATTTCTGGGTCAAAAATCGTAAATTTCACTTCTCCGGTTTTTAGTCTCGCCTTAAAGCTGACATTCTGACCTATCCAACGGTACCGAAGGTTAATTACCCTTTACCGCCCGAATTTCTGGGTCAAAAATCGCAAATTTCACTTCTCCGGTTTTTAGTCTCACCTTAAAGCTGACATTTGGGCACATAAATAGACGACCTGGAGACGCTGATCTTTAGTTACCCGGCTGCTGTTGTGTGGGATGGTGCTCATGCAGTCGTTCCCACCAACCTTGACTGAATTTCAGCTCCAGTAACGTCTATTCTTGTATCCATGCCACCTTGAATGCCTATTTCGAGGCGCTCGGGACTTTGCCGGGCTCTACTGAACATTCACACTTATTGTCACTGCAAACTCATGGTTGAACTATATAAGGTTGACCCACGCGGAAGTTCCGTCTTTCAGTTCAGCTTTCTTGTTGCGTCACGTAGATCAAGAAACGTAAACAAACCAGTAATTCCCATGACGGATTGGTTGACTGGTTTGAACGCATTTCGGTGATTGGTTAATGCCCGTGACGTCATTGAGATCAGTGACGCCACAGGCGAAAAACAAGCTCCATCCGCGAAAATGAGCTTCTCATGGGTCAACCTTATACTAGTTCAACCATGTGCAAACCTATCTCCTCCTAGAGTTTTTAAGCTACAGCAATGAGACATATACCGTTCGATTCGCAAATAAAAGATCTAGAGATTAGTCGTAGATTTTTTTTTCAATTTCGTTATAGTTTCGAAAATATTTTGAAAAAGGAGGGGGGGAGAAATTCGAAAGGGTGGGGGGAAATTCGAAAGGGTGGGGGGGATTCCAAATTTTTCCGAAAAATGCCCACCCCACTTACAAAAATTAGAATTTCGAAAAACAGCAAAGACCAATCGATAAATATAGTCCTTACGCATCGAATGATATGCGTCTCGATGTTGTAGATTGAAAATCCTAGGAGGAGATAGATTTCTACAGTACCCCCTTTTTGGCTGTTTTCTAAGAATTTCACGTTTTCTGTCATTTTTTTCGAAAAATTCACACGAACAAAAAAGTCTTAGATTTATCTTTTACATGTGTCTACTAAGTTTCAAAGTGATCCGTCTGTAAATAACCAAATAAAATTTCCACAAGAAATTGGAAATTGCCATTGGAAATTGGAAATTTTATTTCGGTTATTTACAGACAGATAACTTTGAAACTTGGTACATATATTGAAAAAATAAATCTAAGACTTTTTTTGTTCGTGTGAATTTTTCGAAGAAAATGAACGAAAACGTGAAATTATTAGAAAACCGGTGTTTTTTGAAAGGCGACTTGAAAGTCCGATTTGGCGGTAAAGGGCTAGTTATGTTATGCGTCCATTCAAAATTGACCTAACGGCTAACAGGTCACTGCATCGATCGAAACGTTGCAGTTGAATTTTAGAAAATAGTCCCGTTACTGCATTTTTAAGCAAAAGTGACGTGTACGAGATCATACATTACAACTCTCATATTTCTGTTATTACGAATACCTACGTCCCCTATTCCGCTGACATGAATTTTTGTCAACTTGACGAGACTACTTTGTTCAACGAAGACTTTGTCAGATTTTCAAAATGTGAATAAAATAAAATAAGAGAAATAATGGAAGTTGTATTTATAAAATCTCAATTAAGACGTATAACATATTTGTACAAGATTAGCCTGAATTAAAAGTCATATGCAGTATATTATAGAAGCGGACGTAGTAATATCAGTTCGAGTAAAGGGTCATCCAATTTTATAATACGTTGAATGCATTATCCAGAAAGTTATAGAAACTGTAATAGTTCCAGACATGAATAAGCAAATATTCCGTGTTAATTAATACTCAGCGTTAATAACAGGAAATGGAATGTGAAGAAGAGAACAACAATGCATAAATCATTAGAATTGTAGGGAGGGTTTGAAAAATAGGTAAGTAATTTTGTCTTCTGAGTTTGAATTCCAGAGGAGTATAAATTTTGCGATTTTGATTGAAAATTTTGTTTTTAATGAACACGAATGCATTTTGTCAGCCAGTTAAATGCAGAAACTTTAGATGTTGGGTCACTAATTGGTAATTTACTGTGGTTGCACGGTATTATTACTCATACAATATTGACATTTCAGCTGAGGAAGCTCAAATTTATTTGTAACTTCAAATATCATTGTCCAAAATTTGCTGTGTTCCTTCGATGATTAATACTTATAGCACCTCGCCAAGGGACGAATCGTGAAAGAGTTCATCATTCATCTGCATAAAGTTTTCCTAACTCAACTAGAAATGATAACAAAACCAAATCATACAAAATAAGAACGTAAACATCGAAAATGGAGCTACGACGAGCTCATGATATTCTAAATCTTAATAATGCCACTAAAATAATCATTTTAACTAGACTAAGAGCATTATGCAGCATGCAAGTAATAGCAGATACAAATGTTAAGCATATAGGATAAAAGTAGTTGTACTGTCTATTAGTTTTTTAATAGCCATGCGTTGGCGATTGCTAGCTGTCAAGTAAACTTGTACTAGAACACATGAAATGCTTCTCATAGGAACTGAAGAACGGATATCGCATCTAAAAATTCAGTTACTTCAAAATATCAATCATGAGCTTAATAAAAAAATTGGATGGAACTCTCTGAACTTATTGATAAAAAAATTGAATCCAAGTGGCAAAAAAGAGGAATGTTTTTCTGTTGTCATTGTCAAACATGTACGCATAATACTTTCGATTTCTTATTTTTCAGTTACCTCTCAAGTTACTTTAACCTAATTTCAATAAATTCAGTGTTGAAGTCATAGGTAAAGGTACATCCGTGAAGACGCACCACACCATCAATAAATGATCGTCTCCTGATTTATAAAAAAATTTTTAATTCGCAAGACAATCACAATCCATATCTGAACAGGCCTGCCAACTGAGACATGAAACCAGTATCGCTGTATTCTCAATGGCTTACGAAGTAACAATGTTGTTAACTTTCATCATAACTCATCTTCATAATCAATACACAATGTTCGCACTTGTTTTAACAATGCTAACTAAGATTTATTAGTCATCTTTCCTTTACTGTAATAAGCTGTGAAGTAAGTGGTGCACAAGCGTTCAGACGCAGTATGCACTGTAGGTCCTGAGAGAATCGTCACTGTAGAGTTTGCCAGGCACGACACCGTGGTCGGTGTGGTGTGCGGGACAGGAGCGAGTGGCAGGACAGCGACACAAGACGGTCGTGGTCACCTCCTCGAAGTCGGTACGCTTACGTGCGCTGAACAACCTGCACGGCTCCTTCCTCTTGCACACCAACTGTTGAGGCGGTACATTATTCCAACCGGAATATTCGGTGCATTAAATTGATGACCAAATGTCAAAATCAAATAAATGAAAAATTCAGTCTCTGAAACGAGCTCCGATTGTTTTATTATATGAATTTCTTTCAACTTAAGAGTCGGTGCCGAAAATTGATGACCAAATGTCAAAATCAAATAAATGAAAAATTCAGTCTCTGAAATGGGCCCCGGTTGTTTTTATATGTGAATTTCTTTCTTCTTAAGGGTCCGTGCCGTAAATTGACGCAAAATATCTACATCAATTATGCGAAAAAATTCAGTCTCTGAAATGTGCCCCGGTTGTTTTAATATTTGAATTCTTTCAAGTTCTCTTTCGTTGATGAAGTGGAAAGTGGTAGAAGAAGTATGTATTCACTACTGATAACTCGAAATATTCCTAGTGTACAGAAATGATTTAAATTTATAAAAAATGTCATAAAAATATTTCAATTTTGTCGATATGATACAAAACAATCCAGATTAAATAATGGTATTCACTTAATTTGATTCATCCTAGCGCAAGCTAATACGAAGCTGCTTCTCGTCACCTTGACAGTTTAGATGAAATAACCAAAACATATCCGAAGAAAAAACTTTGGTGAACCAAATTTACAAGATAATTTCTCGCTATGAAGAGTCTTTGCAGCACCTAGAAGTCAAAACTAATCACCGGTGTACGCTCATCTACTCGAAAACACATTACCCCAAAGTTATAACAATGACGTTGTGTCAGATGTGAACGCTCATATCCACTGCAGACGCCTACACGTCAAACTGATCTTACTCAAGTATCACTTGAAAAGTCTTATCCACTCAAGATGACAGTTTTTTCTTGGGACACGTGCAGTGGACGACAAGTTGCGTCACGTTGTCAGGGTAGAAGATCATAGTGTAGGCAACCTCACCAAACAGCTTGCACTGGGGTAACTTCTTCGCTGGTTCACACATCTGAATTTTGAAAGATATTTATTAACTCGCGAACTAAATAGGCATTATTAGTAGGGACAGTAATTACGATATTTGTCCATAATTCGGTACATTAACATAAGAGTTCAATACTTAGAATACAACAAAATAATTTATTAATAATCAACTATTTTGAAGGCATGCCAGTGCAACTTACGAATTCTGAAGCCTGTGGAGGCATCGAAGGTTAGTGAATTTATCGACATTCGTGACACATTGCATTATAAATCGATGTAATAAATACTGAGGTCGCTCACCTCCATATAATATCATACTGAGTGTATGGCAGCTGCATGAGAGCCCTTAAAACATTACAATCCTCTCTCAAACAAAAAACACGCATGCTGGCCTAGAATAATTTCAAGTGGTGAGAATCAACTGTACCCGTAATTAAATTACTGTAAATTAATTATAGGTTATTAAACTCAACTCAAGTCCGAGAGAGGTTGATCGTGGGTTATACTTTTGATATGCTTTTTTCAAATTGAAAACTTTTTTCAAAGAACACAGATAAAACAAGTAACTGCCACAAGATCTTTATACAATATTGTTTTTCATAACTTGCTTTTACGACTAATCTCATCACCATTTTGTTGGTAGTTTACCTTAAACTGAAGGTTTTTATCGACCACGTACGGTATAGCCTAACTGCCACAATATCTTTATACAATATTGTTGTTCAAAACTTTCTTTTACGTGTAATCTCATCACCATTTTGTTGGTAATTTACCTTAAACTGGAGGCTTTTATCGACCACGGTACTAACTGCCACAATATCTTTATACAATATTGTTGTTCATAATTTGGTTTTACGCGTAATCTCATTACCATTTTGTTGGTAACTCACCTTAAACTGAAGGTTTTTATCGACTACGGTATAATCTAACTGCCCCAATATCTTTATATAATATTGTTGTTCATAATTTGGTTTTACGCGTAATCTCATTACCATTTTGTCGGTAACTCACCTTAAACTGAAGGTTTTTATCGACCACGGTATAGCCGTCCTGATTGTCGAGGGATGTGCTGCATTTGGTCTCGCCAGGACATCGGCACATGCGCTCAGCGTACGGTGTGCTGTACGTGCTGATTTTGTTGCACACCGAATACGTTGAGCACACTGGTAAGTCTTCTTCCGAGTGTTGCTGCAATGAAAATAGAAGTATAAATGACTGTTGCAGATCTAAATAGTTGAAAACTGTACGTTTTACTAAACTAAATAGTTGAAAACCTTGATGTCAAAAATTTTTTGACGTCAAGGACAGGCAGTGTTTGAACTTCCAGATTAATCCAACTTTTATTACCATATGAACGAGAGTGAGTCAAGCGAAATAAGACGAAATCTTTTATTGACATGTCTGCATGTTATAAATTTATTTTAAAAAAGTTAAAGTGACATTAATGAGTTTCTCTTTGGACACCAGACACAACTCTAATTTATTAGGAAAAAAGAATATTGATCTGAAAATCATCAGCCCATCAGGCTCCACGAGCGGAAGATTAAGTGAACGTAGACGAGACAAAAATGTGATACTTTTTTCCCCTAATTGAACTTTGTAAATATAGTCGTATCCATAATTTATATTTTTGCTGATAAATATTAACAAAATTCAACTCGTGAATTAAAATCCACACACATTCCACAATTTTGGTTCATGGTAATACGTATGTTGAAGCAATTAGTTACACCGCCAGGCTTTTGCTAATTATTGTGAATACTAAAGCTATAAATTTTCGTTTATTTCATACTTATATAAATAACATTGAGTACGTTCGTGTTTAGATATGTTGTATGGCGCCGCGGCGATGGAGCCGCGTGCCAAGAGGTAATTTAAAGAGCACGTGTGGAGGGCGCGCTTATAAACAGCAACTGACGCTATGTAAACTGCTATTCTTAACTGGCAAGCTTAGGGTTAAAATTGCGAGGTTATATTTACCGCATCGTGAGAGAGATGATCCGTATTATGTGGTCAGCTGAAAGCAATTCCGTAAAACTATTGAACTTGAAATGAAACAAATGTTCATACGGTAAATAAAAGTTCAGAATTCTTTCTAAGAATAATCTTTATTCTACTCCCAATACATATTATTTCACAAATTACTATAACTATTTCATCCAAAATTTGCATTAACGTACAATCAAGTTTTGATATGTCACCAGAGCAATGATTACAGAACTTGAGTTATTGAATTTGAGTTATTTTTAGGCGAGGAATGGTCATCAAGAAGTTATGAACCGAAATGTGTTATTTAACTAAACAGTCAGAAATTTTTGTTTTGGTCCTTTCATATCAGACCGACTTCTAGTAATTTAGTACGGTTGATCATTTTTTTTGCATCAATAAGAATTTGCACTGGTGTTTTTCATAATTTACATTTGTATCACTGAACCATGGCCCAAAGTTTATCCAATAAGGTGATCCGAAAATTATTTTCGTATTCCCAAGTCAAAAACTCTCGGCGCCAGGATAAAAGCCCGCTCGCGGCGCCCAGCCACGCCCCAATGAAGAACCGCAATCCTATTTATTCCCCAAAAATATGCACTATGAAAGAATTTATGGAGAGTGCCAACACCCTTCTGCCAACGTCACACGTTGCCCTTGTTGCTGCCCGATAGAAATTCCTCCACAAGGCCATTCGCTCGTAAACTTTGTAACAAATCTAGTGTTGAGCAAAGCTTGGGTCCACAACACAAGAACGCAAAGCATGCAACCCTGCCGGTGCCACATGTAAAAAGCATAAATCATGAAGCTTATTTTAGCCGCGAGCCGAGACTATCTAAACAGAGGAAGTGGCACTCAAAGAACAATCTTGACCTTGGCTGAAAATGAACTGCACACATGAGATATTATTTTATATTTGTTTATCTATTCATGGTGAGGGTTTTTTGTTGTTGTTTGGTGTTGTCAAACTGTAAAGTATGTATTCCCAAGGCAATGTGTGATCTCAGCATAAGAAATAAAACGTTGTGCTACATCATAGGCAGTCTCAACAGAGACTTTTTGATATTTTTACAGAAAAAAATTGAAATGATTCATGACAACTCTTCATGCATGTAAATATTGCAACACTAGATGTGATACATAATAAAATATCTTAAATTTCACTGTTCGAAGTCAAATTTAATGAGTTTCTTATGATTAAAACGGCATACCAATTTTTACACACGAAAAAATGGCTGGAGGTTTATTAGAAAACAATACATGAGCGGGAATAGAGCAAAATTTTCAGCCCCTTGATTAAGCTAACAAAGGATTCAACAAACGAAACACGAGTCAATGATAAAATGATTCAAAAACAATTTCTGTGCAGCAAATTTTATGCCATTCCGAAAAATACCTATTAATAAAATAAAACATATTGATTAAACGTCTAAACATTTTTCTGCACAATTAATTAACAGTTATTCAATTATCGTTTCCTTTAAAAATTTTTACATGGTGCATGAGACGAGGTCTAATTGTAAAAAATAACCAATAATAACCCATTGCATCATAACATTCTTGTGTTCTACTAAACTTCAATGAGTACCGAGAAAATTTGGAGCTAGACAACTTAAAACTACAATATCCACTTTATTTGTTTGACTTGCAGCGTTAATACTTATGAGTTTTTCGAGAACGTCTACAATACTTGTAGTGTCTTCATATTGTTTGTTACTGATATCTCAATCTATATGGTGGCATCGGGTGAATTGTGAAATAGTAAGAGATTTTACTTGATTAATGGGTAAACTTTAGCCACAATTCCTTTGATTTTTACCCGGGGAGTCAGATAGGAGTTCTTGGTAATTGTGTGTTTGAACGGTTTTATATCACTCGACACATTTTTATTGCAAAATAGTTAACTTGGTTCGGGATGACAGGATTCGGTGCGATTGGATTTATTATTAAAGTATTCTAAACTTAAAGGGAATATCTCTCACATACAACACTTGGTAAACTTGCTTGTAACGCGTACAGTTAGTAAAATAATTAAAGCGACTAAAAGAAAATTGAAGGACACTTGCAACAAATCGCTCTCAAGGGCAAGTCAGTCATACGATGCGTATTGCCAGAACCGTGGACTGAATGTCGACGACGAGACTGTAACTCTGGAATAATACGGTGACGGAGGAAGACCGCGGCCATTGCCGTACGATAATAGGCGTCCTGTGGTCGGAAAATTGTTCGAGTGTCTTCAGAGATTTGCGCGATCATTTGTTTGGATCATCGCTGAGTTAAGTGCAGCCGAGTTCAGCGAGTACAAGTTGTTATGAAGAAATTTTGGTGAAGAGGCAGGACTACGGCGACATCGCTTTTCCGGTTCAAATGATAATCTTTACTTGTTTTGTGGTTGCAAATTCAGGCTTCATTCCTGTATCATTTCATACTCTGGTAAACAACATGTGTGTAGTTTCCTCTTATTCGTACCATGTGCAAATGCATCATTACCTCGTTTCCGTTATTACCTAGTGTAAAAATTTATGAAACTCACTGAATATTAATATTAGAAAACAAAACATGAGCGAGAACCTATCTTTTCTCTCCCGATTAACAACACAGGATTATTCTCTCTGTGTCTTTCAAATTTATCACTCAAACTCTACGAACTCCTCCGCACTGCCCGTCGCCAGCTCTCCATCATCACCTCCATGTCCCCTTACTCGCCCGCCTCCTGCCTCCTACTCATTCACCCACTGCCTCCCACTCGCCTCCCTCTGCCTCCTACTCATCCACCTCCTGCCTCTCCACTCATCCGCCCCCTCGACGGGACCGGCATTCTTGAGGCTCCATTCATTGCAGGACGACCAGCAGCATTCGCTGCAGCGTGGAGTTCGTTTCATTGAGAGCCGTCGTGCATGACCTTATATAAACGACGGTGAGCACACGCAGCTCTGGCTGCAACTTATTTAATAGTGCGATGCTCCTAAAAAGTAAACATTGATTTATTAAGCATGTTCCTTGCCATAGGTGCGGCAACAGTTACGCTAAGCCAAGTTCAGATCCTTGAAGACTCGTGATATGCGCGAATGATCCGGAAAATGTTATTGATTTTATCGGAAAATAATATTTATTTTCTACGTGTCTTCCTATAATTATTGCTGTGGTGCGACAGAAAAACTTTATTGTATGCCAATGCCAACTTAGGATGAAATAGTTATTGTAATTGGTGAAATAATAGGTGTTGGGAATAGAATAAGGATCATTTTTAGACAATTAAATTCTATACTTCTATTTCCCGTATCAACAATTTTTCATTACTGTTTTAATGGGATTGAAACATTCTGAAATAACTATTGTTGGCTGCATTTATAATGTTTAAAACTTATTTTCTACCATTTTACACTGTGATAAAATCTTGTATATGGATATTTGTATACCTGATACAATACATAATTAACCTATAGCGAACACAAGGCTGTACCAATGTTCGAACGTTCGTCTTAAGTATAGTTGTGAATAAAAGTTTGTAACCGTTTAAATTCACCCGTTACATGATAGCTTTTCCTGGCATAAGGACGAAAGCTGGCATGAAGCTGTGAATATCCAAGAGTTGTCCAGGCCATACGCCGATGCAAGCTGTATGCAAACATCGTACATATCTACGAAAACAAGTGTGACTTGCAAAAGAAGTGCGTTGGCTGAGATGGTTACCTACAGCAATCATCTTTGTCGTGTCTTATTGACAAATGTTGCGCATTACGTTTATATTGGGGTGACATTGCTGAAAATGTGTGTAACTGAAAACCTGCATCACAAGACTTTTTAGTTCAGTTGGCCATTGCTAAAAAAAATAAAACTCAGTACTCAATGCAGTGAGTGACAGAGAGCGCACTTTCTNCTTCCAGCCATGAAATCGAAAAAAACACGAAAAAATGCAGAAATTTTGAATTTTGATTTTATGAAACGTTTTACATAGCTTCTGCATAATTACATAAATTCGACATTGAAGCAGTTCCCAAAAACTTATAACGTATTTCCGTCAATATGTTTCGCAATGTAACAAAAAATGGGGGAGAAAATTTTTTTGGTTGTGATTATTTACCAAAACAAAAATTTGAATCATAAAAAAGCCACAATTAGATAAAAAACAAAACATCAGCATACAAAAATCAGGCAAATTTATCCGAATGAGTAATTATTGTCATCAAAACACCACATAG